TTTACGCAGAGCTTAAAGTGTTTCTTTACGGTAGCGTAAAGTTCGACTTTACGTGGCTTAAATGGGTCGTAAAGTTACCTAAATGAGAACTTTACACCAGCTTTACACCACCATTTCGCTCACTTAAATGTCTTTTTTCGCTCTTAGGAATTCAACTCCCGGAGAGTTCGCGTACATTCGACAAAAAAAGGGAGATGGAATAATCGCATTGAAGATTGAAAAACCACGAATTCACTTTTTAAAGCGACGTTTTACCTGCTGTCACCGTCTTCGCATCCTAAGGTCCCTATTGGTGTCCCAAAACAATGAACCGGCGTCCATGTTGGTGTTTCAAACACTTTTTTTTGTTGCGATAAATTTGCGTAGCTGGTGGCCGAGTGAGTAAAAACGATATATAACCCTTATGAGGTGACGAATTAACCAATTGCTTCTTACCAATAAAACGAGACTGGGGATTTGAGGTTAGATAAGTTCTCGATAAGTTACTTCTTTTATCACTACAGGAATCAGTAGACTTCACAGCTCCCCATTTCTAAATCTAGGTGACGTCAGCAAGACCGCCAACAAAGTTACTATGATGGTAAAGACGTAAATCCAAGCAAAAAGTCGATTGATTATTATCGCTGCCATTCTCCATTCCTCTCTCATGGTGTCCGCTTCTTCTTGCTTGAAAATGTTATCCGTCAAGACCGTCATGTTCGTTTGTTCTTTGCCTCTGTTTTCGCGCAGTTTCACTGCAATGAAAAACAACAATTTCAGGCTCGTGTAGTCTGGGCGAGAGCAAACCATTCCGACTTTTTCTCTCTCGCCGCAACTACCCGTTTCCCCCTTGAAACGTTTATAAAATAGAAGTTGAACAAGTAGTGATATCTTTTTAATATATTCGTTGATGTTTTCTCCGCCCCAGAGACAATTCTGAAACTTGAGAGAAATTGCTAGCTTCGCATGTGAGAAGGGAGAAGGAGCTGGATAGCTTAAGCCTTAATTTTCCTTTTTAATATGCGCCTTTTCGCTAACGGTAATTTTCCACTGCCGCGCGTAATTTTAACGTGCTTTTACGCGCGCAAATAGAAGAAACAAAACAAAAACCAATGAATGAAAGACCATGCGTAAGCGTAGAAGTTGAGTGCGAGACGATTTGTTCAAAAATTCAGGCAAAACCCCGGGCAAGAATGCAAAATTTCCATTAACGGTTGACGTACGTCGCTGCAAACGTCTTAAAGTTCCCTAGGGTTTCCTTTGCTTCTCACGTCTCGTCGAGTGTAGAAAGCTTGAAAGGAGTTCAGCTGTCATATTACTGGCTTTGTTTACCTTGTCGAAACTCTTGGACAATTTGTGCCTGTCTCACTCTGCCTGCCGACGTGCTTAAACGCACTAATCTTGCACAATAATTGAGCACACAAACCTACAAGAACGAAAATATTATGTTAGTGATACCATTTTTGTCCTTCCTCTGCGCAAGTACTATTCATGTACTTGAGACCGAACTGTAACCAATATCTGGGTCAAACAGACATCATTACAAAAAAAGGGTGGGGTGGGGGACAAAATTAAATGGGTTTTTCTATCGAGTTTAGAACTTCTTGCACAGCGCCGAAAAGCGCTATCGGGACGGTCACGGACCAATCTACATTGGATCTAGTACAAAATGTTACCCGATGTCGTCTTTGCATAATCATAGCGTCAGTAAAACTGCTGTGGTTGCTGAGTGCCATTTTTAACACAAGCTACTCAGTGTGACGTGTGGGGGAATGTTGATCAAAAATCTTTTTAGTCAGAAACACCCTTTGAGGCTTACAACAAAGAAATCCTTGTCCAAAACTTCCAGTCGGGGAAACACTGGACTCATTGATTACATTCGCATATTATGGTCCTTAAGATCAGACGACGGCGACAGCAACGAGAACGTCATAAAGGCAATAGGTTTAAGCGAAACAAGAACTTTGCACGTGCATAACACTTTTTTGTACATTTCTTTGCCGTTTTTGCACGACTACGACGTGAAAATGCCATTTCATATTTTATAGAGGGTGTAAACAAGCAACGACGAAATAATCACGATGCCGTCGCTGTTCTCGCATCTTAAGTTCCTTATTACAACATCATAAATATACCCGGATCCAGGCGGGGATTGGGGCAGAGGAGTTGATGGGATGATAAAAGCGTAGCATGAGGCAAGCCATGCCCATTGCCGCTGACACCTCGATAATAGTGCAGGCGTAGTAGACAGCAATAAGCGGAATGACTTTGGAGGTGGCGGGTAGCTTGGCCTGAGGAAGAAAATAGACAAAGTGGTGGTCACAACAATTACCTGACTGAGTATCTCAGAGCTACTTGATGTCACAAAAAAGGGATCAGATACATTCGTTTATGAATTAGTCGCTGATAGCTTAGAGAGTTTTTTCAATGTGTATACAAATACTCAGTCCGAAAATGCCCCAGCCAGAATAATCCCTTAATGGCACGTTTGATCGTCGTTAAAAACTACAGCCAAATATTTAGAGCAACCTAGAATCGAAGCGCGTACGATCATTTCACTGTAGAAGAAAGACTTGAAAGGCTTGAAAGACCTTTCAAAATATTTGTTGGTGCAGGAAAGAGGAGTAATTTCCGATCAAATATTAATTGAGACTTCGTCGTCCTATCACTACATTTGGTTTATTGAACCTTGTTAGTAAGTATAAAGTAATGGAAGAAAGGACGTGGACCGGTGATCAGTAAAAGCAAATGCTGTTGGAAAATAATTTTTGAGTTTGTTCAAAGGCATTTTACGTTCTTCGATCGGGGGAAGAGAAAAATTTCCTTTCAAAGATTAAATTCTCTAAAAAAAACACCACAAGAAAGGAGCTACAATTCGGGTCAAAAGGTTCTAGGATACTATCCCCTTTCACGTAGGTTTGTATGGAATTTGCTCGTAACCAGCAATACACTCTCATAAACACGGACTTATCAAGGTTTTTCCCCCACCCCACCTCACTGACCAAAGCTAATCCGGTTTATAATCAGTGCAAGATGTACATGTAAATAAAAGGTGTTTGACTTATTCTAACACCCAATACTTTCCAATAGGGGAGGGGGATTAACTTGAAGTGCAAGTTCCCTTCATGAAAAAGAAACTGAGTGTCCCAAACGATTTGACAAACATTGTACTAAATCTAGTTTTACACTAATTGGTTCATAGTTTTTAGGACTTGGATACGATGCTGGGCTATCACAAGCCAAAAAAAAAACAAAACAAAACCAAACTCACCATTAGCATCAACAACAGAATGGTAAAGGACAAAAGAACAGTTACTCCAAATGACATTCTCTCGCCAGACTCCGGAGGCAACAGAAAAACAAGCAGGGTTAAGACGGCGATCAACACGCATGGCAAAATGAAGTTCATCATGTAAAATAAGGTACGACGGCGTAACTCCAGACGGTAAGTTACCTCCGGAAATTTTCCATCACAACAGTCGTACTCCAAAACACTGCGTTTCGATGTAACGTCACTAAGTATCCACTCACCATTTTCTACATACCTGCGTTGTTACATACGTATAATTACCGTATTGCTGGTTTGCACGTGACGTCACGGCGGCCATGTTGGCAGTCAAGAACAAAAGCATTTCTCTCCTCTGGGAACTAAACTCTATTTTCATGTAAATTGTTCGAGAAAAAATTATATTGTATTGACAACCAACACACCACCAACATGGCCGCCTTGTCACGTGGTTGCAGACCAAGAATACCAAGTTGATAAATACCCGTATACCTGGGGATAAACGTCATTTAATTTGATTTCTTCCGGGCTATGATCATTTTCAGTGTTCATGGAATTAAAATTTCGGCCGTTAAAAAAGTTAAATATTATTGACATTTATTTTCATGAAATAAAAAATAAGATAAACAGAATGTTTGAACTTGCCAAGGTTAAATTTTGAAGGAGTGATTAACACAAAATTTAATACTGGCTTTTGTTGTAAAATGACGAAAAGTTTACAGCCAAAATTTAATACGGACACCAAAAATAAACATCCTAGTGTCCATAGTAGATACGACGATCCTCACGTATGTTGTAGTCTTTTTGCTTGTATGTTTTGTTTTCTTAGTGTTGATGTTCTCTGGAGGGAATTTTTTCTGAGGTATACATGTCGAAATTTGAAAGAAACAATTCTTCAGTGTAAGATCACATAACCTACATTGCAAAAACAAATTTCAAAAGCTAAGTGGTCTATTTGGGAGCTTTGGGGCATTACTCAAGGTAATAGACCATTTTACCGATACGGCGGCCATATTGAATTAATTCGATTTAAGGAGTATTGTGGGATGCCCAAGGGGCATGAGCACGATCTGTTGTACTCGCTTGGTATAAGAAATATGGTCTTTCAGACTTTCACAGCACATTTCCGGGGAAAAAGGCGATCAATATTACATCCAAAAACGGCACAACGATCTCCTTCCCATTACAATCTTATTCTAAGAAAATTTTTAGAAAAATGCTCCAAAAGGCGCTTGAAATACTAAACGGAATGTGCTCATGCCCCCTGGGCATCCCATAATACTCCTTAAATCTAACTTGTTCAATATGGCCGCCGTATCGGTAAAAAGGTCTACTGTCAGTAGGAGAGAAGTGTCGATATGATTGTCTGTTCCTTGTATAGGGCGTTCCCATATATACCACTTACAAACTCAAGTCTGCGCCTTCTCTCCGTGGATAAACGTCCAGGAAGTCACTGTTATAAGACCAAGAGCGAAACTTAAGGTCACAAGTTTGATCATCCAATGGGAAGAATGTGATATCGATTTCACACGAGCTCGTGAAGATCACCGGATTCAACCATGATACATTCCCATCATGCTTCACAACCAGGCGAGCTTCGTTACCGCGCCCGTCCGTCACCTCCTCGGCGCTGTTGGGAATAAAAAGAAAAAGGATGAATTTCCAGTGAATTTTACTTTCCTCCATTGCAACTTGGGTTTTTGCTACACCTTTAATCTATAAATATAAGTGAGGTATGTTTTTTGAGTCTTTCCTATATTGATTAGTACGTGGCATCAACTATCATGTTGAACAGACAGATAGTGGTGTGTGGCGAGACATTGCCCTTGGAGACTCGAAATGATGATGATGATGATAATGATGATGATATTAATTAGACTTAAAGCTTTGATTTTCTGCAAGGGGAAAGACGGGACAGAAACGAATCTGTTTTAACACCATTATATCATGTGCGCAGTCTATGCTTTAAGAAATTCATTTCAGAAGACAAACAAACAAAGAAACAAGGAAGCAAGCAAACAAAAACACACAACAGTCCTCTCTGGCATCGTATCATTTTTAGCTACTGAGAAAACATTAGGACGCCTCGCTCTTTCACTTCCCTTTGCGAGATCTCAAGTGGCTGATGACAATGATAACTTGATGGTCATAAAATGTTTATGATGTTGTTATTATATACCTATGTTGATTTTTGGTGATGATGATCGTGATAGTGACGTTGATGATATCGGTGACGTCAAAGAGATGACGTCGACGACGATGATGATGATAATGACGATGACGAATGTGATAACGATAATAAAGGTTGAAATTATAATGGTGGTGGTGATTGTGAGGAGATAATACCACTGAAAACGAGTTATATCACTTTCGACATCGTATTCGCACCTATTCAGTAGCACAACATCTGGCAACCACGCCTTCTTTGGGTTGATGATAACCTGCGAGATGTTTTCAAATTCAGATTTGTTCCAGGAAAGTCGTGGATCGTTCCAGAACTGCAAAAACAACAATTATATTATTGATCTTTATTTGCTAAAGACGTTTGCTTTTCATTTCCCCGAGGTAAGTTAATTAGGGAAAAATCGGTCACACTTAAAAAATCAAGTTTCCCTAGGTAAACTGTCAACAAGTCGATTTTTACCTATGTAAAAGTCTGTAGTGTGACCACAACTATTATAGCTACTCGATTATTCAACTTCTTTCTCCTGTTGTGACCACAGATTACTCCGCATACGTCTTGCAAGATTATTAAAGTAGGCAAGGAGTATTATATTATATGTGAACTCCTTCAACAACTTGAAACTTTTTTCCTATCTACCTCTATCTCTTCATTTTTAACTTGTTTTTCTTGTTTAATCTTAGGAAATCAAACAAAAGGTCGAATTGATAACATATTCCCCTACCTGTCTCATCCATACGTTTGTGGTAATGACCTCCTCTTTCTCATCCTATTAAAAAGGATTATTTTGGCTTAAATAAATGGTTTTAATATTAAATCTAGTCAAGTCAAGTCACTTTTCAATGGAAATAAAACGTTTACGAAAACAATAAGTATTAACATTTCATTAGACAGGAGATACACAACAGACACTAAAAAGATATATACTGAGTAAAGGGAGTTGGTAACTTAGAATTTTCAAAGCCAACTCCTAAAAGTGAAATCTAAAATTCTATTTACAAGGAAATTAATAAGTTGTATAGCTTAAGTAGTGAGGTATGAAACTAGCAATACATGAAGAGAGGCAGATCATAGCTTGTGAGCAGGGCTCACTTGTGCGAAGCCGCCAACTCATTCCTCGCTGTACATGTATGGCGGCTCTACCACCAAAGACGCCAAAATTTTCCCCGAATTCTTACAAGCGAGCCTGCTTAGGCAGATTCAGGATTTCCTTTTAATTTCCTTTTAAATTAACTTCTAGAAGATGGTGTTTCTATTTCTAATTTAAAACAGACTCATTCGATTCTTCAATTTAGAATTCTTAACATAATAGGTGTAACATTTTTAGAGTTTCTGACGCAATTTATTTCTGGCCTTAGCAACAACAAAAGAGTTGTTCTTGTTGACGCTGACTTTGCGGTTCAGTAAATTTTCCGCTTCAAGGGACTTGATTGGCCTCTCTCGGTTAATTATGAGCCTTTAAAAACTTTGTATGTCTGTTATTGACAGACTCATCACCACGAAAGTAATCTTGATACAGAAGAACATTTTAGGTCGCTCCTTGAAGGAGCTGTGTTACTATAATTCTAACAATGTTAACTACCAGCAAAAAGAGTGAAACGCAAAAATAACCGCTCAAAGCATTGGAAGAAGGTCTAAATAACACAGCAAATATAAAAGAAGGCTAAAAAAAGGCACAGATGGATAAACTTGAAGAAGATTAAGGCTGTATTCACATAAAACCGAACAGCTTTTGCGCCGACACGAAAACCATTACAGGACAGGGCTCCATTCCATACGTACATACTCAACCGTTGACGTCGGTGCGATTTCTGTCACGTAGCGAAGATGTGCTGCGCCGGTCTCTATCGTGGAGAGTAAAATATCGGATAGGTGTTCATACTACAGCGGATGGCTTCAGCTGATGGCTTTTCGTGTCGCCTCGAAAAGCTATCCGTGTGAACAATAGCCGAAAACGGATACCAATTGATGCACTTGTTAACCTAATTAAAACAGTTTTTGAAGGTTTATTTTTGTTGTTTGTAAACTTGAAGAAGATTAAGGCTATGTTCACATTATACCGGGATAGTTTTTGCGTTGACACGAAAAGGTGTTCTATTCACACATAAGAACGGTGATTTCGGTGCGATTTCTGTAACGGAGCAAAGCTGCGCTGCGCCGATCTCCCGGGGGGGAGGGGGTGGGGGAGTACTCCAGGGAATTCTTGGTGGGGGGGTGTGCCGCCCGGTGGCTCAAATCCTGATCCGATTTCAGACCAAACAATGTAATTTTCCACACCCTTTTTCAGACTAGTCCTCTAAAATCCGTACCCGTTTTCAGACCTGGCCTTTAGGCAGAAATTATGTTATCATTACTTAGCCGTTAGGGTATAGACCGCAAACAAAAAATTATTCAAATCCATTTCGAATTCGTATGATTTTTATTTCTATTTCTTTCTTACTCATTTGGAATTGGAACGATAAATACGTTCATACACTCCGTAGTTCCCTCGAAAACCATACCCGATTACAGACCAAAATGGGCAAAGTGTGTACCCGATTACAGACCAAAACGGCGCATAAACCGAACCCGATGGGGCGGCACATACCTATATGGCTTATATAAGGGAGTACCCCCCCCCCCGGCCGTTCTCTAAAGTGGAAAGTCAAATATCGGAGAGGTGTTCATGCTATACTGGATAGGTTTATCGTGTCGGCACGAAAAGACATCCGAACAACAGCCAGCCTAAAACGGATAGCAGCGGTGAGGTACTTGACCTAACAGTTTTTTAAAACTTTATTTTTGTTGTTTCTGACGTTCGATATAATGCTTCGGAGACCTATACACAAAGCCATTATTTTTGTCATTTAAAAAATGAAGTAATTTCTTCTTAACTACGTATCCATTTCTACGGCGAATATCGAAACTGAGTTATATTGAATTCAGACGCGTAATTGGCAATAGAAACAAAATGAGCCNATTGGCCTCTCTCGGTTAATTATGAGCCTTTAAAAACTTTGTATGTCTGTTATTGACAGACTCATCACCACGAAAGTAATCTTGATACAGAAGAACATTTTAGGTCGCTCCTTGAAGGAGCTGTGTTACTAAAATTCTAACAATGTTAACTATCAGCAAAAAGAGAGAAACGAAAAAATAACCGCTCAAAGCATTGGAAGAAGGTACGAATAACACAGCAAATATAAAAGAAGGCTAAAAGAAGGCACGGATGGATAAACTTGAAGAAGATTAAGGCTGTATTCACATAAAACCGAACAGCTTTTGCGCCGACACGAAAACCATTACAGGACAGGGCTCCATTCCATGCGTACATACTCAACCGTTGACGTCGGTGCGATTTCTGTCACGGAGCGAAGATGTGCTGCGCCGATCTCTATCGTGGAGAGTAAAATATCGGATAGGTGTTCATAACTACAGCGGATGGCTTTTCGTGTCGCCTCGAAAAGCTATCCGTGTGAACAATAGCCGCAAACGGATAGCAATTGATGCAGTTGTTAACCTAATTAAAACAGTTTTTGAAGGTTTATTTTTGTAGTTTGTAAACTTGAAGAAGATTAAGGCTATGTTCACATTATACCGGAATAGTTTTTGCGTTGACACGAATAGGGCTTCTGTGCACACATAAGAACGGTGATTTCGGTGCGATTTCTGTAAAGGAGCAAAGCTGCGCTGCGCCGATTTCCCCGGGGGGGGGAGGGGGTGGGGGAGTACTCCAGGGAATTCTTGGTGGGGGTGTGCCGCCCGGTGGCTCAAATCTTGATCCGATTTCAGACCAAACAATGTAATTTTCCACACCCTTTTTCAGACTAGTCCTCTAAAATCCGTACCCGTTTTCAGACCTGGCCTTTAGACAGAAATTATGTCATCATTACTTAGCCGTTAGGGTATAGAGCGCAAACAAAAAATTATTCAAATCCATTTCGAATTTGCATGATTTTTATTTCTCTTTCTTTCTTACTCATTTGGAATTGGAACGATAAATATGTTCATACACTCCGTAGTTCCCTCGAAAACCATACCCGATTACAGACCAAAATGGGCAAAGTGCGAGTGCTGTTCGTTTCCCCAATTGCAACACCCTCTTTTCAGTAGGTTCTGCTCATTGGTGTATACCCTCCTCCTTAAGAGTAACGAGAGCTTAGATGTCCGGAGCCGGGGGAAAGCTACTCGACCAACATTTGGGAATAGGTGAGTCGTTGAGGGTTAGAAACCCTGACCCTGTTTAGGACAAAAATTAGCAAGTGCAATCAAGCAAATTCAGGTTTGTAGTCATTGCTTTTGTACACTTGGAGTACAAACAAATTTCGTCGATTAATCGTGCAGGCAATACCTTGTTTTATAACTAGATCAGACTCGCACGAAAGTATTTACCCTGTTTAGGACAGGGAGGTCAAAAAACATGGGCCGTCCAGCGGCAGGCTTACCCATATATATACGCCAGAACAGCCCCCCTGGTCACGCTTGCAAAAATAGTTTGCGTGACGAAAAATTCAAATGAAGGTTCGCTAAAATCAAATAAAGGCAGATTGAAGACTGGGAACGGGTCGTTAGTTGTGAGGTACGTAGTCGCTGTATGAGACATCGTAGGTGGAGTTGAAGTCCTAACGTTTAAGAATTATAGTTATTTTACTTTGCAATAATGTCAAAACGTGACGAAGGAAGTGTGGAAAATTCTGAGCGTAATAGTTTAATGAATTACAACAGTCAAGCCTACGGGCATGATTTCGTTCAAGAAAATGTTAAGAGATATATTAAACAGTTCGAGCGGGGCAAAGAGAGGTCGGAGCGAGAGGCAAAACGCAAAGAGCGAATTCGAAATGTCACCGACATTTCGAACAACTTCTATACACTTGTCACCGACTTTTATGAATATGGGTACGGGCGATCATTTCATTTCGCACCGGTCCTATCCGCGAGCTCTTCCTTGCAGGAGTGTGTTGTGGCCTATGAAAGAGAAATTGCAAGAACTATAAAGGCTAATCAAGGCATGAAGCTACTGGTAGGTAAACTCTCTTTTTCATTGCATTTTCATTTTGTCATTGTACTTGTATACGTTCGTCACCAGGAAATGTTAAATGAGGCTATATTTTGTCTAGACATTTTGAAACTAGTGTCAAAATATTTTGTAACCTGAATTAGTTATAAGTTTCATTTTTTTTTTGAAGCGGGGCCAAAACCGCATACTTTGGACCCGATTTCAAGATGTCAAAAGTTCGCGGTGTTTGATTGGTTGACAGTCATCACACCACCTTCTAATTATGCCTCTACTTGTTTATCATAAGTATGTTTTCACTGGTTAATTTATGTGCCCTGACCACAGGCAGCCCAAGCTCAAAATATCAGCATCGGCATTATAGCGAAACATTCCGGAAATTTCAAGATTGGTATGGGTGGGAGGGGACCTATCGTTTCTGTAACCAACGACTATAAAAGAATTTCATTAAAAACGGCTAGCCTTACGTAAACTGTGTGTTACGTCTTTCCTCTGTGCTCCGCGAGCCAATTTATGGCCATTTTTTTTTAGTGTAATCGAATAACTGGTGTGAACCGATATACTCTCCCGGGATATATCCTTTCCCATGAGATCATTGTGAAATGGGAATGAATAGGCTCGCGGACCTCAAAGGAAAGAGGTAACACACATTTAAAGTAAGGTAAGCCGTTTTAAATTGAAATTCTTTTACTTGATATTCTTAGGGTACAGGAACCTTAGTCCCCCCCGCTCCCCATAGGCATACAAATCCTTATAATTGGAACGTTACGCAACAATTCCGATGCTCATATTTCGAGCTTGGGAGACCTGTGCCCTTACTCGACCTTTAGAATTATGAAGTCAACCGAATCATACCAATAACCAGTGACAACCTGATGATGAAGGATTTAAAGCAACGGCTGAAAAAGGACAAAACAAACATTTAATCCAAAATTTATCGTAGGGCTCAGCTTTTTGCTCTTTGATGGTAGAGGACGTAGAGGTATTAGAAAATGTGTTTAGATGAACAGTTTCCTTTTCCGTTACACTGATTTCATTAGGTTTCGCGATTAGAAACTTAACCCCAGATCTGTGCATAAGTTCGAAGCACCATATTTGTGCCCCTCGAAAGGCCACACACGTGGTGTCCCTTTTCTGGGCTCTTATCGATTGTGCTAGTAAAAGAAGTATATGCCATTAGCATTGCCTAATTTTTTCCGAATTATATATGCTCTTTTTGGAAAATTTTATGCTAATTTTTCTTCAAATTATGCGATCATGCATTGAATGGTACTATTTTCACGTCAGATGACCCATGGTCTTGTAAATGCCTTTGGTAAGCTTTGATCAGACCAATTTCAACGGGGTTTGGTCTTTCAGCAAGTTGTTCGGCGCCATCTGACCCATCTCGTTGCGTGCGAAGCCGGAAGCTAGGACAGACGCAACCTTTCTGACTTCCGGTGTGCCCAGCTCTCTCGACCATGAACAGCACCGTGTCCTCCCTCTCTTGACGAAAACATTAGACTGAAAAATGGACGCACTTGAAAAAAAATCTATCTGGACCAAGCAAGAATGAGTCTGCTGCTGGTCCGTTCAATGATTAAACTGAGCTAAATGAAAAAAATACGTGCTTATGATAGTATTGCTACTTTTTTAAAGAGCAAAAATTATGCTCGTTTTTCCGGCCACAAATTATGTATGCACAGTCGATAAGGGCCTACCGCTCACTACCCTCTACGATTACACGCTTTGAAGCCGACCTATGCAGCGGGAAATCGCACAGAACGGGGACTTGAGGCCAAGTTGTCTATTCATCGATATTCTGTAATATATCAAATTTAATTTTCAGTTAGAAATTCAGTGGTTTTGATTTCAGTTTACGATAGCGTGACATTTATTCAAGTTCGCATCGCGTGATACATAATTCGCTCTAGCTAGTGCTTGTCACGTGAAGAAAAAACGAAACGAAATAGATAAACAGGTTATTATTTCACATAGAGGAGGGATTGGAGGAGTGTAGTTGAGTTGAGGTATGAGCTAAAAATCACAGCTATTTTACTCTCCAAGGGCCTCAAGGAGAATGCTTGTTTGCAGGCTTACTGTGTATCTATTTAATATGTACACAGTTTTTGCGATTTTAAAATAAAATGCACGACCTTGAAATTTGCAGATGAGTATTGACCGTCACATATACACTTGATTAAACTTTAAAGTGCAGGATTAATGGTTCAAAATATTCACTGCAGTGATCGAGGTGATCCGCGTGGCCGATTTTGGCGCCTTTTTCCCGATCTTCGCTTGCAGGTGTCCGACACGTGTGAGTGCAATTTAGGTGTAAAGACCTGTCGAGTCGCTTACGGCAAAAGGCAAACGGCAAAGGTCAGATTCTCGCTGAGAAATTCTCAAAATAGAAAATGATCAGATAAAAAAAGCTTAAAACAGTTCTTATAGATAAAACTGGCGTGAATCTACTGATGTTCGCGTAGTGATAATGACAGTAAACGACAACTTAGGGGAAAATCTGGTCACGTGGTACAGATTCACGTTTGACGTTTGTCATAAACGTGACTCCAAACTCTATTTTAAGGAGGCGCGAGGAATCGCGTGTGAACGGCACGCGAACGGAGACGCGAAAGTGAGAGGCGCGTTCTCTTGCGAATCTCTTCACTCTCCAGAAATGGAGAGCTTGCTCGCAGGCTATGGTAATAATAGACCTTTTTACCGATACGACGGCCATTTTGAATTAATTGGATTTAAGGAACGTTATGGGATGCCCAGGGGGCATGAGCCGATCCGATATACTTGCATCAGTCTTTACGCGCGCTATTCGGGTCAATTCTTCTTAAAGTTTTCCTAAACTGAAAGATTGTAATGGGAGAAAAAAAGATCGTTGTGCCGTGGTTGAATGTAATAATGAGCGCCTTCTTCCCTAGAAGTATACATTGCATTGAAGTTCTCTTTTTGCCCGAAAGCGTACATAAATACTGACCGAGTGCCCCCTGGGCATCCCATAATACTCCTTAAATCTAATAAATTAAATATGGCCGCCGTATCGGTAAAAAGGTCTATTAACCATGACATGCGCATTTTTTGTTATAGGATGCCCATTGTGGTGTCGGGGGACTTATGATAAATATTGCCAAATTCACTGGAAAGTAAATGCTGAGCGAGTGCCCCCCCTGGGCCCCCATATAAATTCAATATGGCCGCCGTATCGGTAAAAAGGTCTATTAACTATGACATTCGCATTTGTTATAGGACACCGGTTGTGGTGTAGGGGGACCTATGATAAATATTGCCAAATTCACTGGAGCGTAAATACCCAGCTAGTGCCTCCTGGGCACCCCATAATACTCCTTAAATCTAATAAATTCAATATGGCCGCCGTATCGGTAAGATGGTCTATTTTAAAACCATGACATGCGCATTTTGTTTTAGGATGCCGGTTGTGGTGTAGGGGGACCTATGATAAATATTGCCAAGTTCACTGGAGCTCATGTAGTGGGCCTTAATCTCTGTGAATATCAACTCAAGCGAGTGAAGTTTCACATCGAAAACAACAACATGCAAGAATGCTGCATTGGTGTTAAGGTCAGTTTTAATTACTCAACAACTTAGTAACCTCTGCTTGTGTGAACGTCAGCAACTGTTTTTGAAACTAGAGAGAAACATGGATGAAGTGTGTTTGGATTGGGTGTGTCGGCAGAAACAAATATTGGCTGTTAATTTCGTCAGGGTTAAGCCCTTTGGTTGTCAACGCAGCTGATATGAAATGATACTTGTAGCCTAGAATTAGCTAAAAACTCAGGAAAAGGTATTAAAAACATATACCTTGACACTAATGTCATTCATTATTCTTCTGCCTTATGAGTCTGAAAAAGCACCCAGTTATTAACCAAAAAAGGCCGAGAAATGTTATTTTAACCACTGGTTTGTAAAATACTACGGTCGACAAGGTCTTTCTGATCAGTAAGACCAACTACAAGAAAATACGCATTTGTAATAAAAAAAATGGCTTTGCTCTGCTCAGTTGAGTAGTCTGACTGGCTTTTATCATTTAACTTCTGCAGTAAAAAGGTCAGAAAAAAAAATGAACACTGTAAAATTAACTCGAACAAAGATTTCCACTTCTAGACAGACATATTCGGCAACTTAATTGTTTTTTTTTTCCTTTCTTTGTTTTCAGGGAGATTATCATCACATGGAGTTTGGCGACAATACTTTTGATGGAGGGTATGCGTTAGAGTCCACTCTCTACGCAACAGACCCGGAAATTGTTTACCGAGAAATACGACGTGTGCTAAAACCTGGTGCTATCTTCGTTGATTCTGCCTGGGCTATGACAGAGGCATTTGACCCAAAGAATGCAGAGCATGTGAAGATCAAGGAAGGCATCGAGGTAATTCAGTAAGAGAGGTAGTGAATGACCAATTTTCTGGGTACAACAGAGTACTAAAGTGATGACGTCGTAAAAATGAAATTTCTGAAATTATGGGATTTGTCAGGATGTTCTGAAAGAACAATGTCCAAGGGGCCTACTTACCAAAAATGAGCATTTCGGGGCAAATTGTCTCTGAGATGTTAGCCGGTTATACTCAGAAAACTCCACACAAACCCTTCTAACTTCTTGAATCGACCCAAAAAAATTTAGAAGGGTTTGTATGGAGTTTTCTAAGCATAATTGGACAACGATCTGATGTTAAATATCAGTTATCAGTTATCAATTGACTAAATCGCATTCCCGTGTTAAATTTCATTAGATTGGTAATGGCATCCCCGATCTGCGAACTCAACTTGTCCTTTTGGAAGCAATACGGAAGTCGGGATTGGAGATCGTAGAGTATAAGAATGCGCATTGTGATGGTGAGCTTCCATGGTAAGTAACTTATAGAAAATAGTGCGAGGTTAAAGACATCCAGTAATACTGAGTCTCATCCAGTAATACTGAGCCTCATTGTTCATTGGCATTGGGAGAGGAAAGGGCGGATGATGGATAAGTTCGATAACGTAGGGAGAAAACCACCCAACAATGGCTAAAGCGAGGAAGCTAAGAAAATGGGGCGGCGGCAGGAGCAAACTAAAACTAAAACCTCGCAAAGACGTCGACTAGCTCAGTTAGTGGAGCGCTTGAATGCATAGAGCAGGAGGTTGGGGGTTAGATTCGATCCTCTGTCTTAGAGTAATTGGTCGGACCAATGCTAAAGGTATTAGCACACCAGGGAAATGAAAGCACTGATGACCACGAAGAAACTAGCATCTTCAAATGGTACACCGTAGTTTCTTGCTCAATACAATGACGGTTGAATATAAGTGATTTCAGTGCTTTGCTGCATCTTTCCTGGGAATTCTCAATTTTCTTCTCTTTAAGGTACACATTTCTTGTCGGAAAACACGCTTTCTCTCTGGACGCCTTCAGAGTATCCTCGGTTGGTCGAAAGCTTACCCACTTCATGCTATCAGCCATGGAAATGCTGCGCATTGTACCTCAAGGTTCCACTGATGTTCATAACGTGTTGCTGACTGCTGCGGATGCTCTCATCCAAGGGGGGAGGAAAGACATCTTTACGCCGATGTTTAGATTGGTCCTTAGGAAGCCATTGTAGTGCGGAGAGAAAGCATGGAAAAATGCTCTTTGTGGCACATTAAGCAATAAATTTCAATTAATTTGGAAGTCTGATATCGTCAAAAATGTAGTTTAGTACGCTTTGATATATTCAAGTGGGCGGAGTACGTCTGTTGAACTTTCACAAAACCGGACCAGCCGAGAGCTCCGTCACTCAATTTTATAGCAAAACAATTTTTTTCCTTTGAGCAATTATATGTACGAATTCATTAAAGTTGGAGCCAAAAATACATCTTCTTTTTCTACAAAGTCCCATAATGTGGTGTTTTCTTTGTCTATATATATTATGGAGCTGATATTTGCTTAAATTCAGGCCTGCAAAAAGCTAAGAGCAATAAGCCTGCCTTTCAGGTGCAGTCATTGGTATCAGTAGAAGAAACAAAAGAGGACGAAGAAATACAAGATACCGCATGTAACAACGAGGCAACGTCGTCCGCTTATAACCGCCTTATTTATTCGCTACAATACACAGGAAACTATCCCAGAACACCTTGGCGCAGTTTCATTCACTCTATTATGCACGAGCATTCATACTAATTCGCCACATCAAAAATGAGAAGGGAATTGAAGCCAAAAATTCCCTTGCAACCGTTCTTCCAATTAGGATAGTTACTGGGGACGTGCTGGTCAGCTATTGGCCAATATTTTCCCTGTCTTTTGTAACAGTCGCAGAAGTTTTTGGAAAAATTAATTTTACCCAGTTTAAAGTACTTCTCGTTTAGACTAAAGTGGAGAATAGAGCACCTATGTTTACCAAAGGTAACAAACTCGTTATAGAAGTAATACACTATACCCACCACCTTCATCAGCTGAGGTAATGCGATATCAATAAACACTTTGACCACATCTGTCTCCTTCAGAATAGGGCGAGCTTTGTCGTTGTAGTCTTTTAAGATGGCATTCATCAATTTTTCCTCTACGCGACTTGCGTAACAGACTAAGAGGAAAAAAGAATATTTGTTGCATTTATCAATGCTCAACATATCTTAGAATAACTTTGTGTCTTAAATCACTGACTAAACGAAGCGGCTTGACCTAACATGAGAATGAGTTTTCAATCTTTTTTAATCAGAAAAAAAAAGAACAAAACAAAACAAAAAAACCGTTACTTAAAGAATGAGCGAAACACAACGTCCCCGGGTGGGCTTGAACCACCAACCTTTCGGTTAACAGCCGAACGCGCTAACCGATTGCGCCACGGAGACTGACTGCTACATTTCCAAGTTACAACTAGGATCTTAATGGGATCCCTTGTCAACTGACATAAAATTATATCTGTTTGTTAATAGGCCTCCATTCAGAGACCAATACGAAATATTTACAACTTTAGGATAACTTGTTGGATCATTGCTCACATTCAAACAGGGTTAGAACCGAGCCATTCGAAGAGGGCACTTACTGTCATGTGTTATTGCAAACGTCGTATATAAAAATTAGGTACAATTCGCTTAAAAAATTTATTAGTTAAGAACTTCAGGCGACAGCCTTTCTTCTCCTCCCCTTGCCTAGACCTAGCTGGTCCATTGGCAGATACCTGCAAGCACGCGAAAACCATCGAGGAAGAAATACCAAGAACAGTTGTCAGGGGCACCCGACGACTGTTTTCTGTAACATATCAGTTCGGAGAAGCGCATTAGATCATATACCCATTTATTTTGCGCTATATAAATAATAAAGTTATCAAGTTATGTAAATATTGCCTAGAATTTTCTTTCACTTTAAGACGGCAAAAAATTTCTAGATGGCTGTTCCATACAGGTACAATTTTCGAAGCTTATCTAATAAACCCCCCTACGACTTTCTGAAGTTTAATTTTTCATATTTCACTCCTCAGGTTAGGATATTTTTCGTAGAAAAAAGAAAACCTAAAATTTTCGGTAAATAAAACTGAAGCCTCTTGTAATTTCGAAAAGGCTTAAGTTCCCCTAGGATGGCCGAACAGACACAAATTTTATAGCTCCCCGAAGCGTAAAATGCATTTCTAGAGACTGCTAAAAGTACTCTGGGTGGCTAAAAAGCGTTTTCAATGTAGTTAGGAGGAAACAGTCGTTGGGTGCCCTTGAGTTGCTGATAACTTTCAGTTAAACTCCCAGACTTAAATTATACTTCATCAGCGGTTTCGTGTATTTTGGATTCACCCGCAGAAGGTATGACGATTGGACAGTTCCTATATATATATATGATCTACACCGGTCGGAAACACTTTAACTGGTAGTATCTATTGAATGGATACATAACAAAAACAGAGCCACATTGTACACCGAAGTCAAATGAGAGCCGCTAATTGCAGCTGCGTGCAATAACTTATAATTTGTATATTTATAGAACTAGGCAAGGAAGAAAGAGCTAGAGTTCTCTTTTCAAGCTTATACCTTGATGAGCCTTCTAGTTCTCAGTTAAAATGGTTTAACTTAATAACGAAAACGTTCTGAACAAAACAACCGCTGTTTATAACTGTTCATAACTAACTTACCTTGGTTGCATAGAACGACAATCAGTGAAAGACCTAGAAAGAGCATCTTCCTTTAAATGCGTTCAGTCTATTTCCAAGATACTCACCAGTTGAAGCTACTATGCTTTTAGGTAGACAATGTTTCCTAAAATTGACATGCTTGAAGCGGCTGTCGAAGTTATGTCGCTCACAATAAAACCGCAGGGCAGGTGGCCGGTTTGAAATCCTTGGAAAGTATTTGCATGAGAAGGATGTTGAAAGTGTCATTTTAGATAAGGACCGCGAGCGAACTTTTAAGTGAAATAAAAGCCTTTCATTTGTGAAGTTTATGAGCAGCAATTTTATGCCCAGTTACTACTCAAAACTGTGGGAACCTTCGAATGAAACTGAGTAAACTTCGTAACAGAAAAAAAGAAATTAGGGCAAAGGAAAATATGAAATTAAAACATGCTTCTGCACGCTATATCCTTAACAAGTTGAAAATATCGTAAACTGCAATCTTGGACAGAATAAAATGGAACAGAAAACCCCACTTACTCTTGCCGCCTCCCCCCCCCGCCCCCCACTCCACCTCTTCGAAATCAAGGGCTGAAGCCGCGCGAACGCCGAAACACGCTATATATATATTATCCCTAATCCTTGATTTTATTATGGGGTGGGGGGCGGGGCAGAGGGTGGATGTACTGATTTCCCGTCTATTTTGTCCGAGTTTGTAGGTCCGTCAGGTTACTGGGTTACGAATTCCAAAAGTGACTTGGGATAGATGCTTGGGTGGTACATGCGCACTGGTGCTGCGTGCAAACTAAGTCCGACCATCTATTCCCAAGATGCTATTCCTAGATGTTATTGGCAACTACAAGATGTGAACAACCACTGAATAGTTAAAAACAAAAGTGAATCTTTATTTACCTTGGGTTATTTATGTTTTTTTTTTATGGCCATTTGGAGTTCACATGGGACAAACAGCCATTTACAGTTCAAAGAGCCATAAGGTAATGTCAAATCCTCTTAAACAATGTCTTTTACAGTAAAAAACCGCGATTAAGAACCATATTTTTAAGAACCTGTTATAAGAAATAAACTGAATTCCACTAAATACAATGTATTTCTTTTCTTCAGAAAATAAGTACCTATTTAAGAACCTCAGTAGTCTAAATATTTGCTAATTAACATGTATGCGAGAACCTGTTTAGGCTAACTTGGAAAAATGCAGGTTTTAACTCTCGTGTTTTTACTGTAGTACACAAGTTTTCATATCAACAGTGCCGGACTAGTTCGGTCACCCAGAGCCTCTAAACGACTGATGTCAATGCAACCAATTGAAAACGGCCCGTATGAGCTAGCTGCTGATAATGATCCAATCGCCATTTTACCAGCTGCCGATAAATATTTTAACTTGCTATTTCAATTTACGTAGTTATGTATTTTATTTATTTAATTTATCTCTCTCTCTACCACCATTTGGCCAGATTCTGATAATGATTCATTAATTGCTTCTATTTTATTTACGCGCGTAAAATTTACCTTCGCGGGCGCACGTAAAAATTACTCGACAATGGACTGAAATGACACTCTAAAAAAGTAATCAACTACCACGTCACCACGTTTGCAGCGGCGCTTTAAAAGAACTTACTTTCTCCCAAGAGACTAAAATGAAATGCCTTTGAAGTCTAGCCTCACAAATTTCGCCATTGTTTTCCTGCAGACTTGAAACATATCCATATCTTCACATTAATGTCAGGTGAGGCATGCAAGGCCAAAACGGATTTGCAGGTGAAAGCATAAACGTTTGTGGATGGAGTCCAACACAGCTAGAAGTTTGGCAAAGTTTGGATATCGGATGCTTTAATCATGAGGAACAACATCAAAAATAGAATATAGTCAGGGTATTTATTTTTAACCTTTTTGTCAAAAACTTCTAGACTGTTGTTAAAATCTGGAAAACTTCTAAGTGCACATTGCACCAGAACATTTTTTTTATAATTCAGAGGGTTGAGTTTTATACAGTAATGATCAAGAACCAACAGTTCACGTCGTTAGACTCGTCCAGTTCTAATGAGTGAAAACGTAACTTAGAGGTAAGAAATTCTTGTTTATTTAACATAATTCATCAGTCGGGAGCGACTTTTTTGGGAATTCACAAGTCGCAGATAGTTAAGAAATCAGTAATTCTTTACGAGAATGGTCAGTCTCTCGTAAGCAAAATAAACTTGCTGAGGGCGAACGCTTTAGCAAAAAACTTTGCTAACCCGTAGATTGTTAATTACCAATAGATTTCCGGGGGGACCTCTCTTACATTACCTTTACATTAGCGGTATACTTACATTAGGTAAACTCGAGTTGATATAGTGGCCGTCGCCTGGTGTCAGACATGGAACTCGGGGATTTGCTTTGGCGATTTGCGATTGGCTAATGTAAAAAAAAATAGCTATCAAGCAAATCTTAGGGCGTTTTCCGTTTGCCAGAACTGACCGGCCTGAACATTGCCCGACCAGTCAGTTAGCAAATGAAATCGGTTTCTTCTAAGAGTATTTGCTGAAAAACCATCTCCTTCGTGCATACTATTTAGGATTTGACTCATCTGGCTGGATAGTTTTGATTAAAAGTGAACTTCTCATCACGATGGGAATGGTCTGGCTGGTCGGCCGGCTCTAAAAGCGCCCCTAATTTCCAGCGGGGGAGGTTTACTTTGGGCTTGTGAAGTCCACTAGGCCACCCAGGGAGCCCAGGGTGGATTTGATTTTGTACAGTGCCCAGGCTTCATTTGCTTAGCCGCGCTTTGATCTGTTACAACCGCTACGGCGCACATGGAGGCTATTTTTAAATTCTCTTCTTCGAGTTTCACGACAGTCCACTGGATTCCTTTGTCTAGCTGGGGAAGCCTCATTGGTTTCTATATCTGGGCAGTCCTATTTCTGCCTTTGCGTGTTAGTATTTACCGTGTAAGTTAGAATTTCACGAAAACGTGGTGTTGATGGCTGAGATTTCCTCGTTACCTTGTGTATTTCAGTGTATGGAGGGAGGATTTGAGTCGTGTGAGCATTAAGGACAACAACAACTAACTGCAGAGTAATTTGCAGTTTTCGTTCTGTGGTACTTATCGGGTCTACTAACATTGAACCTGGGCGAGCTGTGTTTTCGCCTGGGAACCAGATTATGAAATGTCCACGCCGACGTGATGTAGCTTGAAGGGTTGAACACTCGGGGGTATAAGGACCTTCAGAGGAAAAAAAATTAAAAAATCTTTACGATCAATCACCCTTTTTAGAAACATTCACTGAACTCGGTTAAGTTTTTACCCAGGATTTTCCTCAAAATTTTTGGTACCTGTCCAGCCTGGACACTTCCAGCTCCGATCCACAGAGATCTGTTTCGCACGTCCATAGCTCGCTTTTATGCAATGAGGGACCGAGAAAAACTATTTTGATGAAAGGTAGCACCACTCACTAATTAGTTATAACACCTACCCATTTTCAGAGCGAAATAAATTTTCTTCAATGCAAAAAACTAATATGAAGATTGAGCCAAGTCTAAAAGCGAAGCTCCCGTTAAAATACTTATCATTGACTTAAATCAATAAACTTAAAACCATTGCAAAGACATATCCAAAAATGGGGGCTTCCCATAACTATTGAGAGGGAGGGGCTTGTCACTCCATTGCGCGATAATCTTCGATTTACGATTTATCGAGTTAAGGGAAGGCCAAAATGAAAAATCAAGCCGATTTTTTTGTTCACCATACGTTTCCTTTACTCACTATACTTTTGTGTCATTACAATATCTGCCGATAGTCAGAATAACCTTAACGATGCCACTACGAGGCACACTGTTTGTTTCCTCTGCGGAAAGGAGACCTAAGAAAATAAATAACTTATTTATTTGTCCCTGGTTAATGAGTCCAACAGAGCTGTCTAATGCTGCAGTTTGCCATTTAGTAAAGTTAAGTTTTTTCGCAAGATAAATTAAGCTCTTATTCGATCAGCTTACCTGCCTGAAAGTTGGAATTCTTTTTAAAAGTCATCCTTTCCATCAATATTCGCCCGCAAAACAATGATCATGCATTAAACTAATGAACGTCCTAATTCAAGTAGTTTTAGAACCTCCTTTAAAGATATAAGAGAGGCAAATATCCTCAGATCGCTGAGTGTCATTATGTTAATTCTTATTTAATTGAACCATGATACTTAGTGGACCCGAGTAGTAAGATACTAAAATATTATTCCGCATGTTATTGTACGCTATGGATGTTTTATACGGTGAAATATCCAGCTGAGGGACAGGTATTAGCTGGTATTAAACCATTGTTCCTGTCCTTGGCCCTTCAAGGATTTTCCTGCCCTGCTTGTTTCAGTTCGAGACCAATAACATTGTTGTTTCAGATACCTGTTAGTTTCATAAAACAATTGTCAAAAGGAAAACAAAGTTTAAAAACATGCATTTTTCATTAAAACCTGCTATCCACAAGAAGCATGTTTCAGCAGTAAAGAAGATGATACGGTTGTATTAATGTATGATAAACTTTGCCTGATCATATCTGACTCATCAGAATTATGTTACTTCTCAATTGGCACGATTGCAGAGCACTTGTAGCCATTTACCAGGGTCATCTTCTGCTGTAGGTGCGTATATTTGCTATCGAAAACCTAGCTTATATACTGTGGTGAATGGGGAATCTTGTGGTAATGACAACATTTTAAAAGAAAACGCTCCAGCTTTCAACAAGGATAGTGAGCTGTGTTAACAAGTAACCTTGGTGTTATTTTGTTCATATACTGTAACGGAAGATGAAGCAAATTCTAACCAATCGACTCAACACGGTTGCAGCGGTCTTTTCAGCCTTTTAACGACTTCTGGCGTCACAAAAGTTTCATTTTCGGCTGTACTGTGCTTCAAAATATACCGAGCTGACGGGTTTCACTATAAAATGACCCTGGACATTTAATAATTCTAGAAAGTCGATCGATCGGAGAGTATTCAGGAACATCACAACAAGTAAGTAACGAGTGTAGTAGTTTTTATTACGGCTAGAAAGCACTGACTTGTTCATAGCAGTTTAAGGATATTTTGGAAAGTATTTTACACTGCAGTCTGTCAATATCTACCACCCTTACCGCCACAGAGCTTTGTTTTTATTATAGAAAGATTAATCGTCTAGAAATTTATGGTACAGACAGCTATCAATGGTAGTAAAAATCACAC